TTTTATAAAAAATTTCTCCCCCTGTCACTATGTTAGGGGTTTTTTCTTAGTAACTTATGTTTGTTACCGAATTTGGTAAGGTCTTAAAATTAAGGAGTTCAAATACGTAGTATGTCAATCCCTGCTAAAAATTGTACGTATTACGTATAACGTGAACGTCATTACGTAGATGAATGATTTCAAACCAACTTATTTTTTTGGAGAAAATGCTCCTACATTGATTTGGGGTGATAAGACCTGGCACATTATCGCTGAAGCCGAGGTTCCATTTACAAAAGATGTGTTCTGGAAAGTGATTGTATGTAATTTTTTGAAGTGAAAAAAAAGTCTTTTTTCATGATTTTAACAAAATTTATTAGGATCGTTGGACAAAAGAAGTAAACCTAGTAATTCCGCCTATAAGCTCTGTTGAAATTATCGGTGATACAGAAACGGAAATTCAGGATCGGTTCTCCGATGCTCACCACAATCAAGATTTCTTAAAATCTACACCGACAAGGACGATAAAAAGAAAATTGATTCCGAAGAGAAAGAATAAAGATGAAGAATTAGAAGAATTGGTAGAGTATTTTATAGAAGAAAATGTACACGGTATAAATTAATTTTTATCCATGGCATCATGAAAAGACGGACATAATTGCTTATTCAATAGATCTTTAGAAAGTCGCGTGGTCTACACTCCGCTGGTCGAAAAAGACATTCCATTTTATTATCCGAAGGTACGCGTTAATCATCTGTTTCTTTGCATCATAACAATTTCATCTCATCATTTGATTTTTTTTTATTTTTGATAGGTATCGTGTATTAGTTATGTATACTCTGAATATAAACCAAGTTGCGATGCCTTAGTGATCAGCAAAGATTCAGAAGATGATTGTCAACCGCGGATAAGAATTCAAATCATTCCCTCTCAGTCATTTGGAAGCTGGTTTCCGGTTACCGAGAAGATGGTTGGCCTTGCCTTTAATCTTATATTTTTATATCATTTACATGGCATTAAAACCTTTCGCTTGAACCTTCTACACAGAAATACGCGTACCAAAGACTTTTTAAAACATTATTCAAATGGTGTCAAAATACAGCAAAGGGATACCAGAAGAGGTTTCATCACGACTTATTGGTTCCAAAAGAATTCTATCATGAAACATACCAAAGGATCAAGTCAAAATATGCTGATAGTTGGGTCAGGTAAAACAATAATTTGATTTCACAAGATTTTATTAGAGTCAATGGCTTCTTTAATTTTGTTGTATGTAGAAATTGGCCGGAAAAGACAGACCCAACAAAGTTTGTGTTTGAAGATATTGCAATTGCAAGCTGGTTAATTTCTTTATGGGAATTAGAAAGAAAAGAAAATGGACAAGACAGGTAAGTTTACTAATTTTATCCTTAATTTGATTTCTTTATTAAAAACTTATTTTAAACTTCATAGGCCGCAATCCTTCGTTGACCTGGGATGTGGAAACGGTTTATTGACATATTTACTATCTGCTGAGGGACACGAAGGAGTCGGTATCGATTCAAGAAAGAGAAAAATATGGGATATATTTCAGGAAAAGGGGACAAATTTAAAAGGTAATCTGAAACATCTCGTCAGTAACTTTATTATTATTATTTTTTTCGCCGAGTTTAATAGAGAATGTCTTTTGTAGTCGAAACATTGCAGCCAAATTCAGTTAAATTTCCAAATGTTGATTGGTTAATTGGAAATCATGCTGATGAACTTGTTCCTTGGTAATTACTCTACATATTTTAAAATCATTAATATTATATTAATGAATGTCTCTATTTTCAGGATACCTATCATCGCTGCAAAATCATCGGAAAATACAAAGTAAATTATATAAATTTGGATGTCCTCATTTTTATTTTTTATTTTTTTTTATTCCATTAATCCACCATAACATCTGATAATATTAGGTTTATGGTAATTCCATGTTGCTTTTATGCATTGTCTGGAGTAAAATACAATTTTGAGAAGCGAATAACATGTGGCGGGAAGTACAAGGCATATCAAGAATATATCCAAGAAATTATCGAAAAGTGTGGATTCGTTGTGGAGTATGATTGGTTGCGAATTCCTAGCACCAAGAATGTTGCAATGGTAGGCCGAAAAAGAATTGGTGATAACAAAAGTACGCGAAATTGTTATTAATCCGTTTCTTTTAAGAATTTTACTAATCTGTTTTTCGAATTTTACTACCACGTATAGTTTCAATTGCAAATGATGACCATGGAATAATTGTTATGAAATGAAGTTTTAAAATAAATTTCATTACCAAACTTTCATTATGAAATAGTTTTCATATTGTAACAATCTTTCTATAATGAAACATCGATTGTACTCATTATTATTGCCCTTTACTGTGATAATTTACATATTACCTAATTATAATAATAAATTATAAGCTAAAATAATAATCCTAGTGCATACCATCTCTTTACAACTTTGACCAGTTTATCGAGTTAGCCTATTATACCTCTACGAAATTCATCGTAGTTTGACGTTAGCATTTGTCTAATTTGCTCCTTTACCTCATCAGGCGCTTTCTCAGGAATTATCGTAGCGCCATTCGGAAAATTCAATGACAAATCATCGTTGTCATCTTCACTAGTACTGTCATCCTCGAATCCTAACAAGGGATCATCAGTCTGAGTCGGTATGAGATACCTAGAGGATAAATGGTGATGATCATGAAAATTACTATAATTATTATTTCGCATAGGCAGATGCGGATCAAATGATCAATTGTATAATTACTTTGGATCTTTCCACAAAGGATTATCCAACGGCGGAACTTTGGTAAAGCAATTTTCCTTGGTCATATGTTCCGTTAAATTTTGTAATTTATCAAATTTTGCGCCGCATGCAATGCATGCATTAAGAGACGTACTGTGCCTTATGTAGTTAATTAAGATAATTGTCTGGTAAAAGTCGAGACCTAATGAAATTCCAAAACGATAGGATTTCTCTTGTGAATATCAATAAACCAGATAAAATGATGCATCAATCCCCATAAATTACCCATAGAGTTCTTGATTTCCAACAGATCGAATCCATGAATGTTTCTCATATGATTCTGAACTTCTTTCGAACTTGGTGAAACATCTTCACAAAAGAGGCATAAGGTTGGTTGGGATTCTTCTTCATTCCAGTCATCCCAAGAACTTAATTTATTTCAATTACACATTAATAAACTATCCGAATAAATATCATTATCCCTGCATCGGAATGTACATACTCGTCTCGGTTGTGGTCTTCATCTGATTCGTAACGCTCGTTTTCATATGTCTCCCAGTTTTTTCCGGGTTCCTAGAAATCCAATTAATAACACTTTCTCTACATTAATGAGTAGATCCATTTAACAAATTCACTTACCAAATAATTTATAACATAAAATAAAAATTTAAATATATATTAATTAAA